TAAATAAAATAATAATAATTGACTTTCAAAAGATGTCAGTAAACATTTGCAGAACACACATATAACATGCATTACCAGAAATTTAAAAAATTAACTTTAAAAGGTCCGGGTTAAAATGTAAAAAACTATACCTATTTTATACCATTAGACTCCAAGCGTTGTACTGTAAGTGCTGTGAAAAATTCCTTATCATGCTAAGCACAAAACAAGGACTAAAGATGTACTTCTTAAAAATTTATGACAAAAACAGGTTGACAATTGTAATTTAATTATGTAAGCCAGTAAGAAATAAGCCAAATAAGTTAGTAGGATACCTTCTCAGGCATCAAGGGCTAGTCAGAGACATATTAGAGGCAGAAACAGGAGTTAGGAGGGGTAAAGGTAGACTTAGATTAGATTACCGTTCGCAAATAGTTAAGGATATGGGTTGTTCTATTTTTAGGGTAATGCGAAGATAGGAAAGAGTGGAGGTGCATGTCCAACCAATCTTAGGACTGATCACTTTATGATGATGATGCTCCATACCAAGCTCCATATAAAGCGCCCAATTCTGGTAATTTCAAACTACTTTAATTTGCTTAAATTAACCTAAATTGCTTAAGTTAAATGGAATACCCGATCCTTTAGTACGTCGTCGGAATGAAAAACAGAATCGATCTTTATCTTATAATACAAATATATAAATATTTATAGTTAATAAAAAATGCTCAGTTATGCAGATGCATGGTCTAACTAAGGGCTGAGACCTTTGTGCAACTAATCAATAATATTTGCTGGATGGTGACCTCAGTAACAATCGTTGATCATACTAATTGTAAGTCCAGAACTGGTAATCGAACTGTCGTTGCCTGTGTGTAGTGTAGTAGTGACAATTGAAATCAATTTTTTCAGAAGGAAAACTTCTGCCTTTAAAACTTCGCCCTAGGACTCCAACGTGTAGGATACAATTCTTTTGAGGCTCACTATACAGGGTGTTTCTAAAATCAATAGCAAGCTTGCACCAATGGGGCATCGAAAAGCAAAAAAATTGTATAAATGTTTGGTGTTCCGAAAGTCCACAATCTTCGGGAAAATGTATTTGAAAGTATAGACAAGAGCCGTCCGGCTCTGGCAGGATGCGTAAAGAAATACGACATTGCAACGCCGCATTTGATCAGCTGCTAATTAGCCCTCACCATCGTCCCAAACCACATTAAACCCCGTTCAAAAACTCGTTTAAACACTAAACCAAAAAATTTTAATTCTTGATTACCGGTTTTCCCACGAGAGGGATGAGTTGAAAGCATTATAATGAGCCTATAATGTTTATAAACAACAAAAGTCGACAAGGTAGCAAAGTCACTACTTAATAAGTTATCGTTAATCAAATATACCAACAAGCTACAAAAATTGCAACATTTCGGTCATACTGCTCACGAGAAAAAGTAAACAGAAGAACTATATATCGAAATAACGAATAATTTAGTTTAGTAATCAATCAATAATACAAATTAAGACAAACGACCTATCCCAATGCAAATCTTAATTACCAATTATCGTTAGATAAATTGTTGTTATACTTAGTAAATTATTATTGCTCGTGTTTTTTCTTTTTAGTAGAGTTATGCGACACTCCCGGCTAGAAGCGGCCTTTGGGGATGCCGATCTCGGCAACCGCCTAGAGCCTCGCACTTGCAGGGGCCTCGCGTTCTCGCGTAATTCCCTGAATCCCTGATTCTTTTATGTAATAATCTTTGAATTTATTAGTTCTTGTTAATTAAACAATTTTGAAATTCTAAATTTATTTATTAATTACTTTTTATTTCTAGTCAAGTATCATCATTAAAACTAATTCCGTAAGGACAAGGGCCTCGAAAAAATCTACCCGCCTGAAGCCTTACAGTGGTTAAGGCCGCCCCTGCTCCCGGATGATCCTAAAAATAGTGCCGGATCCGCCGCATAGCGGATTCATGCCGAGTACTCGGCCAATCTCTAGTTTAAACCTTGTACATATTTTCATTTCGTAAAGGTCTAGATGATGGCCCCTATGGGGTGGGGGTATCGAAAGAGGGTGGTTACCTGAGTAAAACCCCATAAAAAAATTGCGGCGGTCTCACCCCCATAAAAAGTTATGGGGGTTGAAAGTTGATTATTTTGACAATTTTCATAAACTATAATTNTAATAAAATTTGAAATTAATTATTAACTTTACATCATTTTTTGAATGGGTGCATTATATTCTTTAAAAAATGACCAGTCTCTCGTAACAGTACGGTAAAAATGCAAAAAGCTCGAATAAGCTACTTCGGTCTGTGGTTTAAGCAAACCGCAAGAGAACTGTTTTGTTAAAATAAATACGTACATATTGACCACAAAAAGATAATAAACACATAATTGAATGCCTTTTAAATGAAAAAAGTAATTACTGCAGAATATGACAGGTACAATGATCTCCAGATAAGAAAAGAGCAAAACGCATTGTAAAAAGAATATTGTTGATATTTAACATAAACTAAAAAAATAAAACTTTTTTTTTAATTTATGGTTAATTTAGTCTGTGGCATTCATTTTTTAATCTGTCTCCCTTGTCGCGCCTATAATAATCTGAGACTTATTATAACATTCATTTACATTTGAAATTGTTATGCCTCCTACAGCCACTAAATATTTAAAAATCTTTTTCTAATATCGTGGTTCTTAAACTTTTCCTCTTCCACTTACTTTTAAAAGGTATAATAAATAATCTAGCAATATATTGATACCGGATCATCGTCTGATCCACGTACAGATCACGCGTGGAGCAGCGATGGCCGCTACGGTTGCTACATACGTAATACAATAATAGTAAGATGTCCCGATCTCCGAAAATAGTCCACGTGGAGTTGATTGACAGCTACGATTTTGACAAACCTAATACTATTATATTTAATACAGTCCGATTCCTGAAAACACTCTATGTAGACTTGATTGACAACTATAACCGTTATAAATGTCAAGTAATAATTAGAATTCTCGGAAATTGTCCACGTGGAGTCGAATCCACGTAACCGACTTATGAACTTATTATGTAATATTTATGTTTCCTCGTTCTTTCTTTCTAATCACCAATTAAGAAAAACTCCAGAAATCAAATAAAAGGGCGGGACAGTACGAGACAAATCAGAGGAGAGCTCTCCTATCTCTAACCGTCCAATGAGACTGTTAATTAGTTGCAAAGCAACGTCTCACTGCCAACTAACTGAAAAGCTTCCAAACCAAACTTAGCTGCAATGCTACCAAAAACTGCTGTAAAACTACCAGACTTAGCTGAAAAGCTACCCAACCTTTTTTTTATTAATTCACTTCATTTTGTTTTAATTGTTGTTGTTCTCATTTATGTTGTGTTTTTTGTTATTTATAAATAGTTTCTGTACGGTAATTAAATGAATGTTCGTATGTGGACGTGTTGCTGACTACTAATATAACTTCAGATGAACTTTACCGCAAACTTCACCATACAAAGACAAGCTCTATCATGGTCTACCTTCATCCTCCTGGCAAACAACCTTCTACTACCGCCACCATGACGCGTATCAAAAGTCGCGGGAAGAGTATACCATAATCCCGCAACCTTTCTGAACTCTGATGCAAAACCACTTTGCGTATGCCGTTATTTTCGGGGAAGATTGGGTGTACGTCGCCAACAAACAACTAAGTGGAGACGCCGCAAAGTAGTTTGACGATATGCTGCATAACCTCTAACTTGGAACGAGTTGAAAGAAAATCTAACGGCCGATTAGGCGTCACCAGTCGTAGCCGCACACCTACGAATGACCCTTTTCGGCACACATCATCAATTAATTGAACCCGTAGATAACTTTCCCTAGGAAAAGCTATTATTAACCCGTCGATAAAATCCGTCTGGGTAAACACTGAATAGTATTGTGATAGAGCTACCGTATCTTCTCCAGAGTCTCGACTTCGATTACTCTTAGGAATTGAAGTGCACTGCTTGACAGAACGAGGGTGAAGTCATAAAGAAGCTGCCCACGACGCAGCACCACGGCATCCTGCCGTCGCCGTTCGTCCCGAGCCCCCACCGAAGTCCGACAAGACACCACGGCCACCAAAGTGTCATTTATGCGACGAGTACCATTCCTCCAGACATTGGCCGATTCTAAAACGGTAGTCGGGAAACGAAGCAACGGCCTAAACCACGGTAGGACTAAATGCAATCACAACCACCACGAATACGTCGAAGCTTCGAGTATGTGTACTCGACGGCCGCCAATTCCCTGCCTTTATTGACATTGGTGCCAGCGCTAACTTAATTAAAGAAGGGCTACTGACAAAACCCATATAAACCAGCACGGAATTGGCTACCACAGCCGTTGGCAAAAGCGCCAGCGACATCACCGGTATTTAGCACGTCTATTATACGATAGGAAACGTCAATACCCTAACAACTTGTACGAAGTTTCACTTTCGAGCTACGATATGGTGCTGGGCATCCTCTGGCTGCAACTGTACAATGTTCACTTTCACATCACCCGAAAATGAAGTGAATTAATGTACAAAAGAAAAACCGCACAACGTTTGGTTTTTAAATACTGCCCGAACACGAGCCATAAAACTCCTGCAGAAGGCGTCTAGCCCTAACACAACGTGGAAGTTACCAGTGTATTGTTCGGCCTGGGCTAGAGACGAATGGCGGCAGAATGACTTGGCACTGCCACCTGAACAACTTCTTTCGCATTTTGCCATCGTTCTGCCAAGCACTCCACTTCAATTTCTTGGACCATTTGAAGTAGAGACTAGGGAGATGATATACCAAAATGCTATTGAGTGTTTCTTCAATCATCTCCGAATGCAACTGAGGGCTAACATTAATTTTTCCTGTTGAAAGTTACCTACCAGTACGGTTAGTTGATAATGTGCATCTAAAAGGGTCGCTTGTGGGTGTGCGACTACGGCTAATGACACATATTCAGTCGTTAGATTTTCTTTGAACTCGTTAGGGGATATACAGTGTACCGGTCAAACTACATCACGGCAACTCAAATTAATTGTTTGCTGGCACCCAACCTTCCTCTGGGATAACAGCATTAGCAAAGTGTTCTTGTATGTCAGTAAGAAAGGTTTCAGAATCTTGCTGTACCTTTCCCACGACTTCTGGCAAGCGAAGTGGTTAGATGTGGGCGGCCACAATCGCCTGGAGTTGTTTCCTGAATGTTGGTTCTATTTTCATTACTTCTTGGTGTAGCGGATATGGTGGTTGGTGCATGTTCTGCCACCTTGACTGATGTTGGTTTGTTCATTTAGACAACAGTGGGTATATACCACTGCGGAAACAGTGTCGTCGCTGGATTGCGGCGACGTGTTCTTTAATATGGTAATGAAGCTGAGGATCATAACCTCAGAACCGGTTCGTCAGGAACTACCTTCGCTCCAGAAGGCGTGGAGTCTTCTGGAGCCGAGGTTTCCGCTGGGGTGGTGGATTTGCTGTCGTGGGCGACAGTGAAGGTTGGGTAGCTTTTCAGCTATGTTTGGTAGTTTTGTAGCGCAAGGATCCGGGATCCGTCAGACACTACTTATTTTCTGAGTAACAAAATGAGTGGGATAGAGTAGTGTTATCATTTACTTTGAACGTATGCATATACCTGCTAATTTGGACCGACGGCCAATTTGCAGATATCATGTGCTGAAGGTAACATTAAACATTACTTGCTTTTCCTAATGTCTGAGTGGTGACATTTAGATACTGTTTCACATAATATTGTTAAATATTAATAATCAACACTATCAGACACTTCTCACTGGCGGTAATTTCTGGCAGATGCTTCACAGTTCGCAAAGATTTCGTAACTTCACTTCTTCAGCTTCCACTTATAGAAACTGTCCATACAGGAATATTACATATATGGGGTAATCAAAGTAAAAAATACACATTTTCTACAGGGTGTTTGTAAAATAAGTGGCAAACTTTGGAGTTTGTCTAGATGCAATAGCGAATGGCATAGTGAAGTTGTTTAAACTTAAGTAGATAAATGAATATAATTTCAATAGAGAATTGTAGCTCTATTAAGACAAATTTCCACGCCATCCTTGAAACACATTACTTTTAGAAGACTCTTTTTGGAGTAATTTTTGTCTGGAGTCCTAATTCTAAATAATTACCATCAAAATATTTAACAAATATTACCCAAAGGTAATATTATATATAATAATAAATCATAGCTTACTATTCGGAAAGACACTGGTTAGATTCCTGGTTAATCTGACATCTGGTCCAAGTTTTTTTTACTATGCATATGAAATGTGTTTTGCACCAAGGGCTAAAGTCAGATTATGGTAAGTTAGAGTTTCCCTGATTGACATGTGTGAAATGTAATGCAAGGTTAGATTAGGTGTGTTATTTTCTTAAAAGACCCCAAAAGTCAAGGTCATCGTAAGTTAATATGGATAATTGACTATGCTTTTCTTTGAATCATTTAGGCAACTGCTAGAGGAGGATTCTACAGATAACTGCATTGTTGTAGTTAGTGACGTAATTTACCTAAGTTCTAGTTAAAAAGAACTGTAATTACTAGTAATTATTAGTTTACAAATATATTTTTACAGTCAGTCGCCATTAATTTTGCAAAAGAAAATCAATGAAGTAATCGTGTTAATCATCGAAGGACACTCCATAGAATACATTCTAAGAAACTGAGACTTGGCCGGATGACCAAAATAAGCAGTTTTACTGCATTTTACAATGTTTCAATGCAAATATTTCATGTTTACATATATGCACGTAACTATACAAATACTTTACCTACGCTAAAAAGAATAAGTTATTACTAAGTAAACAGGTAGATATATAATAAAAAGTTCATCCCATTTTGCATGTTCCATTAACAGAAGCTGTAGTCCATAAAATTGCTATTTTATTATCTGGCAGATAGTAGGATTTCCCTAAGTAAACTGATGGTACACTACTTGCTACGAGATCTACTACCTCTTTCGCCTATGGTAAAACACGTTTGCTATACGGTTATATACATATACGTACGTCTGTATTTATGTGTATATAGATTGTATATAGCAGTCGGTGTGAGTGTTTAATACACTCCCATTAATTAGTCTTAGCAGAGCAATTGAAATTGGTAAACAACCCGTTACCGTGAGGCCTACAAGAAATGGGTCTGCACTGAAAACGTAAAAATATCCCTGAATATATGGCCTCTTTGTCGATGAGAACAAAAAACCGCGCACACGGCTACATTTCGCAACAAACCACTTCCTTGTCAAGGAACTTGAACAAAACGAATGCAAATGCATTCTATTTGTAAGCCAGTTTCTTACTAGAGAGACGACATCTTACAACAAACTTTCTTAAGCGCATCCAATGCTTTTTATTTCCAACTCATTTTTACAGGTAAAACTGGTAAAGTACCTGCGACTCGGAGCCACGCACTGAAGGTTCCGTGTCATGAAAAGGTATGGCCAGAAATTACTTTTCTCAACTTAGTGATCGATAGCAATCAAGTTTTAATTATTTATTTTAATAAAAATCTTTCAAATGTTTAAAAACACTTAAGAAACATAATATTTTTCTGCAACATGGCTTTATAAAGAAGAGATCTGTGGTTACCAATTAAATGTAAAAGAACAAATTGATACCAGTTATCTTGATTTCCAAAAAATCTCCGACAGCGTGGTTCACAACCTCTTGCTATTGAAATTATTAACCTATGGAATAGACAGAGTTCTTCTAAAGTGGACCAACCAATCTGATCATGAGCGACAGATATTGCAGAATTCGACAAATATGGTTTTATGTCAAACAGCGTCTATGCTGCGTTAAGTTGTCCCAAAAGAGAGTCACTTGGGACCACTACTGTTTATAACCTTCATAGTGCGTAAAGAATAGTAATATCCTAATACACTGCTGGGTAAAAGTTTAAGACATTCTTTATAATTGCATTAAAATTAACATTCAAATACAAATCGTGTGACAAAATAACTTTGTTTATTCATATTTGTATTCATAATAATTACCAGAGAATACGGAAAAGAGAAACCAATACAGTACAAATCACCAGAACAGTTTTTTCAGCAGAAAACAAATAAATACAAAACAGTATCTTGTAGGAAATTGAACGAGGAACAAAAGAGATCTAGCGCAATTTCTATCTTCCATCTCGGGTTATTTATAGAAATATGCCGAAAAAAGGTATTTTTCAATAAATTTTGCAGATATTAATTCTTCAGACTGTTAAGTCGCAATATTCATCTTATTGTTTGTATATTTTTTCACATTTATCTTTATAGTTTTAGTGAAATGGTTGTTTGATTACCATTGCTGTATTTTCAATTGTATACATTTTACAGCAGTAAGTTTAGGTATTTGTAGTTTGCCGACCATCAAAGCTCAAAAGATTTTATTGATCATTGTGCCGAGTTCTATTATAATATTCAGTTTCTTCCATTAGATCACGTAATTACCCCAATAAAAAAATAAAATAATTCGAAGTGGTCTGTATTCTGTCGAAACTGCCAGACGCGGATCGCGATTTCGATCTTTTTGGATCTCATCAGCGCGACGCAGGCAGCTCCGACAGAACACAGACCAACCTTTACCTGCTGTCTTAATAGCGCGTTTTAGAAAATAAAATTTAAATGGCGTGGTGAACACCATCTGTAGTACGATGCTACCTTTTAGGATTACGTATGCTCCAACAAGGTCCATTTAAATATATGGATATCTACTTGCTGAAACGAATCCCGAATGCCTATCACGTTGAAGGTGAGCTATGCCGGGATTCGTTTCAGCAAGTAGATATCCATATTTTTAAATGGACCTTGTTGGAGCATACGTAATCCTAAAAGGTAGTATCGTGCTACAGATGGCGTTCACCACGCCATTTGTGGTATTTTCTACCCCAGTAAAGTTGAATTGGTTTTTCCCTTGGGTTATGTTTCCCAGAAGTCGAGGCAAACGGCAAATTTCCTAAGACGCGTTGCACGCGTGTAGGTACCACAAGTACCGCTTAATGCCCTTCTGGTACTCCCACTATCTTTCTACCCCTCTGTATCTCTGTCTTCCTTTCATAACAAATCAACGATCTTCTATTTTTGCTTTAACCAATCGACCTTTTCAAATTTGAATTAAATTCCGACCCCAAACTATTTCCTCCACTTTTCTAGTTTTCTTATTTTCAAAAGTTCACCCGTAGGAAAAATTTCCATTCTATTTCCATTAAAAAAATGCCATTTAATTAGCACTGATAATAACTAATGGTAATAAATGGAGAATTGCCAATGCGATGAATGGAATTTCCACTAGATACGGCGAATACGTGCGGCGTCGTTTAGGTCAAATGACGTCACACGATGGAACGCCGCGTGTAACAAAATTATTCTTGCAAGCGCAACTTTAAAGTCCCATAACTTTCTTACTTCTTGAGATATTTTATCGATTCTTTCACGTGTTTGTTTTATTTTATTTAAATTTTTATAATTTATCCATAAAAAAAAAATGGAAACTTCTTCATTGCGAGCAAACCGAGAAGATTGGCACCTGAAAAATTAACCGCTGCAAAAAAGGAATTCAACGCAATGATCAAATTAGGAACTGCAATACCTTCCAAAAGCTGTTGGTCTTCACCATTGCATCTGGTCCGTAAGCATGGTGACGAATGGAGACCATGCGGTGATTACCGGGCATTAAACGCCAGAACAGAACCTGATAGGTACCCGGTGCCCCACATTCAAGATTT